GCTTAAATATATGCTATTGTTTAAACATATTATGGGCTTCATGAAGAAATTATCAAGTGTGGATTCTCTTCAGGGAATCACAGTGGGGGATAATCATTGATGCTTCTGACCTTTAAACCTCTAAATCTGGAAACCTTACACTGTACCCATCTCAGGATGAAGTTTCTAGAAAGTCTCAGGTAAATATTGTTATGGGTAGTACAATAGAATGAGTCTCAGAATTCCTATTTCTGCATATGTTTGCCTTGGAGTCTCCTAATCTGCATTGATCATTGAGGGATCAAGCCCTCAGGCTTCATATATACATTAAGGCAGGGATTGCTTTTATGGTGCATCTTGTATAATGCATACTGATGATGCCAGGACTTGGATAATTATGACAAAACCCGCAATGCTCAGAAGCAATCAAACACCTAGTTAACTAGTGTGTTATCAACACCTTTCTATTGGTCCCTTCAAAGCCCAGCACTGTGAGAGCTGCTATGGGGAAATGAACTCCAGCTCAGACAGACTCAATATAGTATTAAACCTGTCTTAAGTTGTAGTGGGAGCCCCTGGTGGTCTAGTGGTTAAGGGTGCGGCACTGTCACCGCCGAGGCCCGGGTTCGATTCCCGGTCAGGGACACTCCCCGGGCAGATGGAGCTCGTTAGCCCTGTAGGCAATCCATCTACATCCTGAGGACCTCACTGCCACCGTCCAAGCTCATCCAGGCAGATGAACCTTAGGATTAAAGGGTGGGCTCAGTTCCGCACACACTGTGTCTCACCTAAAAAATCCAATGCGCAGGCTGGAAGGTGTAAAGACCTTCCCCGGATCTTCACTAGCGAAGACTGGCCATTATTATAAGTTGTAGCTATTCTGAAATCCTTTGTTGTTTGTAAATTTCTTATTCTGCTGTCCATGAGCAATATTAGTAGTTTTCTCTATGACATTCACATTCAGTTTGTAGTGTTTTGACCCTGGCTGGAGGCCAGGTACTCACTAAAACCACTCTATCACTCCTCTCCTCAACTGGACAAGGGAGAGAATATATAATGAAAAGTTCATGAGTTAAGGACTGGGAGAGATCACTTGTGGGAAACAACCTAACTGCGAGCAGCTTGGGCTGGGACATTGAGTTGTGAAGTTGTAAAAGTATGTAAACTACCAGAGTGACTAAGCAAAAAAGGAGCAAAATTTCAGTAAATACCAGGTGTTGTTTTGAGATGTGCTAAGCACATGGACCGGTGATGATCACCTATGAGAAGATGAGTTGGAACATGTGAACTGAGGCATACAACCAATGAAGGATAACATATGTATGTGTGGACAGAGGAAGACTATAAAAATAAACCTGTTGTAAATAAAGTCATTGTTACCTGTCAACAGTCTGAGTGTGTGTCTTTTTGGTCGCTGCAATCACTCACTGATTACCGTCATGGGCAAAACAGACTTGACTTGGGGAAATTTGTTGAATTTATTACCAATCAAAATCAGAGCAGGATAATGAGAAGTAAAACAAAACTTAAAAACACCTTCCCCTACACCCCTCCCTTCTTCCTAAGCTTAACTTTATTCCTTCCAAGTGGTGCAGGGAGATGGGGAATGGGGGTTACGGTCAGTTCATCACATGTTTCTGCCACTGCTTCCTCCTCAGGGAGATGAGTCCTTACCCTGCTCCAGCATCGGGTCCCTCCCACAGGAGACAGTCCTCCATGAACTTATTCAATGTGAGTCCTTGCTACAGGCTGCAGTTCTTCACAAACTGCTCCAACATGGGTCCCTTTCCACAGGGTGCAGTCCTTCAGGAACAGGTTACTCCAAACTTGTGACCATGGGGTCACAAGTCCTAGCATCAAACATGCTCCAGCGTAAGCTCCTCTCTCCACAGAACCACAACTCCTGCAAGGAGTCTGTTCCAGTACGTTTCCCATAGGGTCACAGCATTCTTTTGGGTACCCACCTGCTCCAACGTAGGGTCCTCCACAGGTTGTAAGTGTTGCAGTTGGGGTGGAACACGACACGGCTTCAGGTAATCAGGAACCAGGAACATATATAAGTATATCTGTGCTCCACTGTTGACCTCCATGGACTTCAGGGGGACAACCTGCTTCCCCATGGTCTGCACCACAGGCTTCAGGGGAATCTCAGCTCCATCCCATGAATCACTTCCTCCCACTCCTTCTCCACTGACCTTGGTGTTTGCAGAATTGTTCCTCACATATTCTCACTCTGCTCTTCTCTGACTGCAAGTATTTCTGCACAATAACTTTTTTCCTTCTTAAATATGTTATCACAAAGGCATTGCTACCATTGCTGATGGGCTTGGTCTTGGCCAGCAGTGGGTCCATCTTGGAGCCAGTAGGCATTGACTCTGCCAGACATTGGGGAAGCTGCTATCAGCTTCTCACAGAAGCTACCCCTCTAGCCACCTCCTCCCCCAAACCTTGCCATGCAAACCCAATGCACAGTTCTAATCAGATTATATAAGTAAAACATCAAATACAATATGTGAGAACAGTTATTTACAGAAAATTGCAGACAAATGCCCTGCCAAGTACTTTGATGCTGTTTTGGCAAAAATATAAAAATCATTCATCCAAGAACTTTCAATAAATTACCACTAAAAAAAGGATATAAGCACTTTCTACTGTGTTGTACTTGGTGCTAAAATGCAGGAAGACAGCAGCAGGGCTATATTTCAACATGGTCCCTGTTACACAAACCACTGGTACTGGGTCAGGGCAAGTTCCCATTTGTGAAGGAACACATACTTAGGGTACTAGAGAAGATAAACTCTGCCTGGGTACATCTTTACCATGTTTTAGTCAGGATGACTGGTTTCTGACTGACAATATTGTTAATAAGTACAGAACTGGGCACAAAGGAAAGTGAAGAGACAATATAAAATAACCAAATGTCAAATTCTTCATCCACCTTTGTCAGTCAGGTCTGATTTTAACCATGGTTTTAACATACATAGAACAGTTGATGTGATTTTGGCTGTCTGGTCTAATTTCTTACCAAGTTTCCGGTAGTTTAATCATTATCAAGTTTGAAGTAATTAATTAATTTATGCTTTTTTAAAAACTGCTTTTTCATCTCTAGGGCTATGAATACCACCTCTGTAATCATAGGTAAAACTATTTTTATAAAAATCTATAATTTTAAGTGACCCAATTTACAAAATTCTCTGTAAACAAAAAATTACCAAAGCAGGTTATTCATTGGTGATTCTGAATTATATCCCAACATTTGTGCTATAAGGTGATATGGAAACCATGGGTGAGCTTTTATAAACTTGTCATATAAAGTTTAAATTCAGACCTGTATCTAGAATTCATATTTTTTAATCCATGGTATATGTTTCATCATATTCTTGGCTGAGGAAGCTTCTTGACCTAAAAGTATTTAGAATATAAATCTGATTTTCTAGCATGATCATCCTCTTTTATCTTAAACCCATACACAACTGAACACAGACAATATGAGGGAAATGTGTGGATTGAGTGGAAATGGAGGGACATATGTTTTATATTTGGGTTGGTTTGTTAGAAAACATTAGGTTCTTGACTTATGCTCTATTCAACAAACAAAATAATTGCATATGATGGAAATTTACAATCCAGACCTTATTCTGTATTTCTTGCACAAATTTCTTGTGAGTTTTAGTGCAAATAATATAAAAAAAAAAAGCAAGACTTAGTGTAACCACTTTTCTAAAGTCAATTATGTCAAATATCTTCAAGTCTAAATAATCATGACATAAATCTTTCTAATGAATGGACGTGCAGAAGTACAAACTTAGGGCTTTCATTTTGAACTAGTTTCAGCTAGTAAGTGCCTGAGCTTTGTTTCTCAGATTTTTTCATATTCTTAAAATTGTATTTGTATTCAGTTTCATTTTAACATGTTTTTGATTTGTCCAAACAATGGATGTCTATCATAAAAAGTCTGTATTTAACTTGGTACTTTCCATTCCACATTCCTTTACTATTCATAGCACAGCAGTCATATTCATCTCCAGTACATATAAAAGGAGGCAGTTTGACTTGCAGTTGCAGATCTCCTCAAATGTTTCATAGAATCAATGAATCATAGAATATGCTGAGTTGGAAGGGACCCATCAGGATCATTGAGTCTAACTCCTGACCCTGTGCAGGACACCCCAAGAATCAAGCCATGTGCCTGAGAGCTTTGTCCAAACAATTCTTGAACTCAGACAGGCTTGGTGCTGTGACCACTTCCCTGGGGAGCCTGTTCCAGGGCTCAACCACCCTCTGGGTGAAAAATCTTTTCCTGATATCCAACCTAAACCTCCCGACTCAGCTTCATGCCATTTCCTTGAGTCCTGTCACTGGTCACGAGAGTGAAAAGATTGGTACCTGCCCATCTACTTCCTCTTGTGAGGATGTTGAAGACAGCAATGAGGTCTCCCCTCAGTCTCCTCTTCTCCAGGTTGAAGAAACTAAGTGACCTCAGCCACTCCTCATAAGACTTCCCCTCCAGTCCCTCCACCATCCTTGTGGTACTTCTTAGCTTAATACCTTTTTTATATTGTGGTGACCAGAACTGCACACAGTACTCGAGGTGGGGCTGAACCAGTGCAGAGTATTTACAAACTGTGGTGGGTTGGCCCTGGTTGGAGGCCAGGTGCCCACCAAAGACACTATCACTCCCCTCCACAAGTGGACAGGATAGAGAAAATATAACAAAAGGTTCATAAGTTGACATAAGGGCAGGGAGAGGTCACTCACCATCACAGGCAAACCTGACTTGACTTGGGCAAATTAATCAAATTTAGTACTAATCAAAATCAGAGTGGAATAATAAGAAGTAAAACAAATCTTAAAATACACCTTCCCCCTACCCCTTCCTTCTTCATGGGCTCTACCTCCTCCCCATGCAGTAGTGCGAGAGAGGAAATGGGGGTTATGGTCAGCTAATCACAGGTTGTTTCTGATGCTATTTTTTGTTATATTAAGAATAAATTTATCTCAGTAACAAAATATGGACAAGACTAATTCTTTCCCACTGAGTTCTTAATTTCAACAACCAAAATGCAATCATGGCACGAAAGCACAGACAAATTTTTGTTCTCCACTCCATTAGGTAATTTGTATTGCCTGGTAAAGTTTCTGGATATGAAACAATATTTGTCCATCCTAGGTCCATGCTGAACTTTAATCAGGAGCCAGCCTTGGAAAGTCTGAATATCTTCAGGATGGAACTGCACAACATCCAGCAAGACTTGAAAGCATGTGTTTTCCTCCTCCTGACCTTTCTTCCTGTCCCCAGCTGTACTTTCTGTGATACATCTTCTGTTGCTCAGTGCAACTGAAGGGTCTGTGTCATGGTTTAGCTAGTTATTCGAAACCAGTGTCCCAGTTTAAATGAGACAAGGGTCTTTTGCTGAGGATGGATTAGGAGGAAAAGACCCAAACTTCTCTTTCCAAGCAATTATAAATCCAAAATTAAGAGGCTTCGATTGAAGGAAAACAAATTATGGAAAAGGAAAAATAACAGCCCTTTATTAAAAGGTATGTGTGTATTAACAGGAACATGAAAAAAAACCAAGTAAAATAACTAAGTAATACTCCTATACCCACCAATAATCCCCTTCAAGAACAAAACCGATAAACCGGCAAAAGGAAAATAGTTCAATTTCTTGCACCCTTTGGTGCAGTTCCAACCACAGTCAGCAGGGGGCGCCGTCGGGTCACTGGAGATGTAAAATTTGTAATGTCCTGTACCATTCACCAGGTGGCGCTGTTGGGTCACTGAAGGTGTAAAAAAACTTGTAGTGTCCTATTGTAGTCACCAGGTGGCGATGTTGGATCACTGATGGAGTAGAACTTGCAATGTCCAGTGCCCGTCACCAGGCCACGCTGTGAGATCCTTGGTTGCCGCCAGGTGGGGGGGGGGAGAAGGGGAAGGAAAACAACAGCAATAAAACAGAAAGTTCTCCCAATGGAAGAAAACTCACAAACTTCAGCTGATTAGGGTCCGTTGTAAGCAGGGCTTGCAGCCAGCCACAGCTGAACCAAGAGCAGCAACCAGAACTCCCCTCCGACAGGAAAAAAGACAAAGGAACCCGGTAGTGTCTGCAGCCCGCAGCAGCCTCTCACCCCGGCAGAGAGAGAGAGACTCTCCTCTCCCCCAAGCCTCCACCCCCTTCCAGTCACACACCAGCCAACTCCCCCTCTTCGTTGTCAAGGAAACAAATCTCTCGGCTATTACTGGGTCAGGTCGATTCTTTTGTTCACCTAATGGGCAATATACAGAGCACACACACACGGCAGAGGGAAGGGAAAGAAAAAATTCTTTGCTAAAATCAAAACTATGGCAACCAGTCAGGAATTTTTTCCCTTCCCCCTGCCCCTGTGTGCAGAGCTTTCAAGTAGCTATAAAGTGAGCACGTGAGAGATACAAAGAACTAGCCAGTGTCATATCTAATATTTGTAACTAGGGCCAGGAATTATCAAGAACAGGCACAGAAACTGGTCCCAGTGGTGGAAAACCTCAAATGGCATGGACCATGGGAGGATATGGGTAAATTTCTAGAAAGTTGTTCAGTTCCTACAACATTGTCATAGTTCTGATTTCAGCAAAGAATTTTTCTTTCCCTTCCCCTCTGCGTGTATGCTCTGTGGATGAGCCATCAGGTGAACAAAGAAATCGGTTGGCCCACTAATGGCCGAATTTAGTCTCCTAGCAACGAAGGGGGAGGACTTGGGGGGGGCTACTGGGGTGTGTGACTGGAAGGGGGTGGAGGCTGGGGGGGGAGTGGAGTCTCTCTCTCTGCCCTGAGGGAAGCCTGCTGCGGGTTGCAGACACTGCCGGGTTTCTTCATCTCTTTCCTGTTGGAGGGGAGTTTTTTTTTTGCTGCTGCTCTTGGCTAAGTTGTGGTTGACTGCCGGCTCTGCTTACAACAGACCCCAATCAGATGAAGTTTGTGAGTTTTCTTCCATTGGGAGAACTTTCTGTTTTATTGCGCCACCTGGTGAATGGTACAGGACATTACAAATTTTACATCTCCAGTGACCCGACGGCGCCCCCTGCTGACTGTGGTTGGAACCGCACCAAAGGGTGCAAGAAATTGAACTATTTTCCTTTTGCCGGTTTATCGCTTTGTTCTTGAAGGGGATTATTGGTGGGTATAGGAGTATTACTTAGTTATTTTACTTGAGTTTTTTTTTCGTGTTCCTGTTAATACACACATACCTTTTAATAAAGGGCTGTTATTTTCCCTTTTCCATAATTTGTTTTTCCTTCAATTGGAGCCTCTTAATTTTGGATTTATAATTGTTTGGAAAGAGAAGTTTGGGTCTTTTCCTCCTAATTCATCCTCAGCAAAAGACCCTTGTCTCATTTAAACTGGGACAAACATGGAAGCTCACTCTCGAACAACTCCTAAACCCTACAAAGATAATGACAGCTCTGAGGGAGAGAGGTCGTGGTAGACCCATAGAGAGGCAGGTGGTAGCTGCATGTGGGGTTTTGGTTGTTGCCTACAGAAAGCTACTCAGTATGGTGCAGCCCTCACAGGGAAAAGGAAAAGATGAAAGTGAGAGGTCTGATACAAGGGTGACTCCAGATAAGGCCAGTTCCAAGGAACCAAACAAGTCAATGGAGGTTGCCCCTATCCAAAAGAGGAAATATAAGACCAAATCAGCCCGCCCAGTTGATGATGATGGGGAGGCAGGACCCTCACAGGTAGCCAACCCGGAGCCAGAAATCATCACTGAGTCCTTATCGTATGACAACCTCTGGAACTTACAGGCAGACGTCATTCGTCTCCCAAATGAACCCATACTGACCTGGATGATCCGAGTTTGGGACTCCACGGATGATGCCGTAAACCTTGATGGTGGTGAAGCAAGGTTCTTGAGGTCTATTGCCCAGGATGTGGGCACTGAGGAGAGGTTTGTGAGAGAATCAAAGTCCCTGTCTGTCTGGGCATGGATGTTGGATGGTGTGAGGTTCTTTTACAGAGAGGCCTTGCAGACAGACCCTTGTGCGAAGAGCTGGAATACCATGGAGGAGGGGATCCAATGCCTGAGGGAAATGTCACTGTTGGAGGTACTGTTTGGAAGGGATATACAAGCCACTGAGGATCCTGACAAGGTTAAATGCACCCCACTCATGTGGTGGATCTTCATACATATGGGGCCATCTGCACACGTCAGTTACTTGACATCATTGGAGGCTGGGGAAAAGAGTGAGCCAGTGGCGGCTATAGCAAATAAACTTCGGATGTACGACAGTATGGTCCAAGGATCACTACAAGCCCCCATTTCCTCTGTAGAGACATTGATCAATGACCTCACTACCCTAACTACAAAAATACAAGATCAACAGGAGAAACTGCAAGAGAAGATTGAGAGAAACAGTTCCCAGGTGACCCCAGTGAGAACCAGGCGCTACCCAGCTAGAGAGGGTAGCCAGACCTCACTAACAGAGCTGTGGTATTTCCTATCTGACCATGGAGAAGACATGAGACAGTGGGACAGGAAACCTACCCATGTCTTGGCAGCTCGAGTACAAGAGTTGAAGGACAAGAAGAAAGCAAAGTCCATGAAAGTGAGTGCAGTGCCGGTATCTCGTGGGCAGGGATCTGACCCATTAGAAGGTACCTCCCGCCGGTATTCACAGACGGAAAAACCGTGTCTATTGAACGGTGTGGATCCAATGGCCTGGCACACCAGACCCACAAGAATACAAGGTTTTGGTTGACACTGGCGCTCAATGCACATTAATGCCCTCAGGACATGTGGGACCAGAGGCTATTTCCATTTCTGGGGTGACAGGAGGGTCTCAACAGTCGACCGTGTTGGAAGCTGAAGTGAGCTTGACCGGGAAGGAGTGGCAGAAACACCCCATTGTGACTGGTCCAGATGCCCCATGTATCCTGGGCATTGACTACCTTAGGAATGGGTATTTCAAAGACCCCAAGGGACATAGATGGGTTTTCAGAATAGCTACTGTGGAGACAGAGGCAACTAAGCAGTTGAATTCACTACCTGACCTCTCAGAGAACTCTTCTGCTGTGGGACTGTTGAAGGTTGAGGAACAGCGAGTGCCAATTGCCACTACAATAGTGCATCGTGGGCAGTACCGAACGAACCGAGACTCTGTGATCCCCATCTATAAGATGATCCGTGAACTGGAGAGCCAAGGAGTGATCAGCAAGATCCACTCCCCCTTCAACAACCCCATTTGGCATGTGTGTAAGTCTGACAGAGAATGGAGACTGACTGTGGACTATCGTGGCCAGAATGAGACCACCCCGCCACTGAGTGCTGCTGTTCCAGACATGTTGGAGCTCCAGTACAAGTTGGAGTCTAAAGCAGTGAGGTGGTACTCCCCTACTGACATCATGAATGCATTCTTCTCCATTCCCTTGGCAGCAGAGTGCAGGCCGCAGTTTGCTTTCACGTGGAGAGGCGCGCAGTACACCTGGAACTGACTACCCCAGGGGTAGAAACACAGTCCCCCCATCTGCCATGGATTGATCCAGGCTATGCTAGAGAAAGGGGAAACCCCAGAACACCTGCAGTACATTGATGACATCATCATATGGGGGGACACAGTAGAAGACGTTTCCGAGAAAGGAAAGAAGATCATACAGATTCTCCTGGGAGTTGGGTTTGCCATCAAAAAGAGTAAAGTCAAGGGACCTGCCCGAGAGATCCAGTTCCTGGGAGTAAAGTGGCAAGATGGACGTCGTCAAATCCAGACTGAAGTCATCGATAAAATCACAGCAATGGCCCCACCAACTAGCAAGAAGGAAACACAAGCTTTCCTGGGTGCCATAGGTTTTTGGAGAATGCATATCCCCGAGTACAGCCAGATCGTAAGCCCTCTCTATCTGGTAACCCGCAAGAAGAATGATTTCCAGTGGTGTCCTGAACAACAGCAAGCATTTGAACAGATTAAACAGGAGATTGCCCATACTGTAGCCCTTGGACCAGTCAGGACAGGACCAGATGTGAAGAATGTACTCTACTCTGCATCTGGGGATAAGGACCTCTCCTGGAGCCTCTGGTAGAAGGTGCCTGGCGAGACCCGAGGCCACCCACTTGGATTCTGGAGCTGAAACTACAGAGGGTTGGAAACCAATTACACTCCAACAGAAAAGGAGATCCTAGCAGCTTATGAGGGAGTACAAACTGCTTCAGAGGTGATTGGCACAGAAGAACAGCTCCTCCTGGCACTTCGGCTACCAGTATTGAGTTGGATGTTCAAAGGGAAGACGCCCTCTACGCATCATGCCACTGATGCTACATGGAGCAAATGGATCGCCCTGATCACACAGTGCGCCCACATTGGAAACCCAAATCGCCCTGGGATCCTAGAAATCATCACCAACTGACCGGAAGGTGAGAACTTTAGTCTAGCAGAGGAAGAAGAAGGGGAGCAGGTGGTACGGGCGGAAGAAGCCCCAGCATACAACCAACTACCAGAAGAAGACATACGCTACGCACTCTTTACTGATGGTTCCTGCCGCATTGTAGGGATGAAACGTAAATAGAAAGCAGTTGTATGGAGTGCCACACAACAAGTTGCAGAAGCTATGGAAGGAGAGGGTGAATCAAACCAATTCGCGGAGCTCAAAGTTGTCCAGTTGGCACTGGACATTGCTGAACGAAAGAAGTGGCCAAAACTTTACCTCTACACAGACTCATGGATGGTGGCCAATGCCTTGTGGGGGTGGTTGGACAGATGGAAGAAGGTCAATTGGAAACGTAGAGGAAAACCCATCTGGGCTACTGATATATGGCAAGACATTGCTACCTGGGTAGAGAAACTGATTGTGAGATTTGGCCACGTAGATGCCCATGTACCCAAAAATCAAACCAATGAAGAGCATCACAACAATGAACAGGCAGACCGAGTTGCACAAGTTGAGGTGTCACATGTGGACCTAGACTGGCAGCACAAAGGGGAATTGTTCTTAGCACGATGGGTCCATGATACTGCTGGCCATCAGGGCAGAGATGCCACCTACAGATGGGCATGAGACCAAGGGGTGGATCTAACCATGGATGCTATTTCTCAAGTTATCTATGACTGTGAGACATGCACTACCGTTAAACAGGCTAAGAGACTGAAGCCCCTGTGGTATGGTGGACATTGGAGTAAATACAGATATGGGGAGGTTTGGCAGGTTGGTTATATCACACTGCCACAGACCTGTCAAGGTAAGCACTATGTACTCACCATGGTGGAAGCCACCACTGGATGGCTGGAGACGCATCCGGTGCCCCAATCCACTGCCAAAAATACCATCCTGGGCCTGGAAAAACAGGTCCTGTGGTGACACGGCACCCCAGAGTGAATTGAGTCAGATAATGGGACACACTTCAAGAATAGTTTAGTTACCACCTGGGCGAAAGAGTATGGCATTGAGTGGGTCTATCACATACCATATCATGCAGCAACTGCGGGGAAGATTGAATGGTGCAATAGACTGTTGAAGACTACCCTGAAAGCATTAGGTGGAGGGACTTTCAAACACTGGGATCAACACCTAGCAAAGGTTACATGGTTAGTCAGCACTAGAGGCTCCGTCAATCGAACTGACCCTGCCCAATCAGAGTCCCTTCACACTGTAGACGGAGACAAGGTCCCAGTGATTCACATGAGGGGTATGTTCGGTAAAACAGTTTGGGTTAACCCTGCTTCGAGCAAAGGCAAATCCATTCGTGGAATTGTTTTTGCCCAAGGACCTGGTTGCACATGGTGGGTGATGCAAGAAGATGGAGAAACCTGGTGCATACCTCAAGGAGATATTATCTTAAGGTGAACAGGCCATAACTCTGTATCCATATTTGTACCTATATATTTGTAAATGTGCACATAGTTTAGAATAATGCATGAATGTATGGAGTTCAAAAAGTTTAATTTGATATAGTGGCATGGGAAAGGAAAAAAATTAGGGATGGATATTGTCATGGATATAGTTCTTGGAAACTAGTCAGGAATTTTTTCCCTTCCCCCTGCCCCTGTGTGCAGAGCTATCAAGTAGCTATCAAGTGAGCACTTGAGAGATACAAAGAACTAGCCCGGTTGGCTAATGGTTGAAAAATAAGTCTCCTAGGAAACGGGGCAGATGAAGGGCTATTGTTTACTTTTTTCTCTCATTTCCTGGGCAACGGGGGAGGAGTTGGTGTGCTGGGGGTGGCTGGAACACAGGTCAGGAGTGGAGGCTGGTGATTCCTGCGGCTCAGGACCTTCTTGCCAGTTGCGGACGCTGCCTGTTTTTTTTTTCTTGTCGGAGAAGAGCTGTTTTTCTGGGAGTTTTTTCCTTTTTCTTTTTCCCTGGTGGTGGTCCTTGTGCACATCAGGGGGAGAGAGAGGACTGTGCAGAGGAGATTGACCAACCAGAGTAAGTGAGAGTTGTCTGGTCCCTTTCCCCCTCTCCCTCTCCCCTTTCCAGGTTTGTGGGAAGGGAAGGGAGACCGAGTTTTTCTTTGGTTTTCTCTGACACACCCTGGAGGGTTTTCTTTTCCCCCCCCATCCCCCCCACGTGGTGGTGACCAGTGATCCCACAGTGCCACCTGGTGACTGGCACAGGATATTACAGGTTCTGCATCTCCAGTGACCCAATGGTGTCCCCTTTTAACTGTGGTTGGAATTGCACCAAAGGGCGCAAATTGAACTATTTACTTTTCCCTTTGCCTGTTTATCGGTTTGTTTTTTGAAGGGGATTATTTGTGGGTATAGGAGTATTGTTTGGTTGTTTTACTTGTTTCTTTTTGTTGTTTCTGTTAATACACACATACCTATTAATAAAGGGCTGTTATTTTTTCCTTTTCCATAATTTGTTTTCCTTCAATCAGAACCTCTTAATTTCGGATTTATAATTGCTTAGAGGGAGGAGTTTGGGTCTTTTCTCATAATTCATCCTCAGCAAAAAACCCATGTCTCATTTAAACCTGGACAGTCTGGCAAAGCATATAAAGAGTGATCCAATTTGTGTGCTTCCAGCTCTTGGGCAGCAAACTGATCCTGACAGCATACTGGAGTTTCCACCCAGTATCTTATAACAACTTCTGCCACTACTGACATTTATCATTTAGAACCTCTCACTTTTAGCACAGGCAGAACTTAACATTTAATAGGATGTGCTGTGTTCCAGTGCTGGGAGATTTGTTTCAATTTGTATTCACTACAAATAGAGCACTATTTATAGTGCTGGGGTCTTGAGTGGCTTCCACAGTTTCCATATGTAGAGCTTTTATGTATACACAGTAAAAGCAAAATTTTAACGTACCTCCAATTATTACAATATTGCATTGTTGTTATGAATAATGAGTAGACAAATAATGAGAAAGATTCTTTGATTTAAATGGAAGTTTAATGATTCTGGTTTTCTAAGGGATACATTGTAATAGATACAAACTCTGTATTTCTTCTAACTGAGATAGAAAGTTATTGAGGAAAGGGATTTAATAAGTTTGACAGTAGGAAAAGAGCAAATTTCAGGTTAGGTAAACTAATATTACCAAGTGCACTGGACATTGTTGCAGAAGTTGTGCATAGGTGAAATACAGGCATGGTTAATGATGTTGTTGGCAGGAATAGGGAACCATAATGACCCCTGCCCAAAGAGGGGTTTCCTGAAGGGTGAGTCTGCAATCTTAGTGACCTGTAAACACAACAGAGCCTTCTCTAGTGTGTCAGGGTGTCAAACCCAACAGTGCAGGGAAAATTATAGTGAAGGTTCATGTTTCACAGCTTCCGGGAGAGGGTAGAGTTTTTTTCCCCAGCAGAATAGTAAAGACAACTCCAAATCCTTAATGCTATCCCATTGTACCAGTAGCCTTCATCTTCTGGGACTTAACAACTTGAATCTACCGCATGTGTCTGGGGAACAGGACTAATGACCTCGATGTCTCTCTGTGCTGTAATATTGCTACTCTGTTAATAGTTTGGTCAATGAGACCAAAGAGGAAAGTGCAACAAAAGGGAAAAGCAATACCAAATTTTAATGTTTGCCAGAAAATCCCTTAAGCTGGGTTTGGTAATGTAAAGCACAATACACCGTGGCAACTGATGGTGAAAACTGGTTAATTGCCTCAGTTGAACTAATACTAGAAATAATCAGATGAGATATTTTTATTCCTTCTTGTTTGGCTTTTGTGGTTCAGAGCTCTGTCTCTCTCTTGTCTGTACATCTTCCATTACCATGAAAATGGCAAAACAGTTTATATGGGATCTTTGGTTTCTAATGGACTGTAGGTTCATGAAAAAAGAGGCAGGTGAATTTCAATATCTATCAGAAATTAATCTCTTTATTGAGTCAATAGCAGAGCAGGATTACCAGACATATCTATAAGGTTCTAAGGTTGCTATTTTAAACTCGTGAAGGCTGCATCACAAGGTAAATAAATTTTTGAAGGTAGATCAAAGGTTCAAGATAATTTACAAAAATGACCAATCATTTTACTGAGTAAATGACATAAATCTCCTCATAGGGAATGAGAATTATGTTACTTTATTTAACTATTGGCTCTTTTTCTGTCAAACCATCCTCCAGAAACCATTTTAAAATGTGATTCTGAAAGTATGGCTTGCTAAAATAATGATAAAAGTAACCTGGATCATGTCCCATTATCTGTTCAGCAGTTGTTTTCTGTTTCATTAGCCAATGAGTAAACTGTAACCCTGAAGTGAAGCTGTATGCTTGATTGTTTTTGGTATTATGCTTTTAGAAATTGTTGAAAGTTATTGCTGTCCCTACTACATTCTCTGATGATAGCCTGACTTATTTTACTTCAATTTTACCCTTCATTAATAAGTGTACTGTGAGAGAATACACTTTATTTTAATTATTCCTATCTTCTCTGGGAAAAGGTAAACCTGCCTATATTTACACTTTAAATGAAAACAGAAACCACCACCTCAGTGAAGGTCACTGCGGGACAGCTATATCTGTTCCCAGAAACAGTTGTGTTAGTCTTTTAGATGTCTATGTTAAGCATACTTGGAACTGTCTGGTTTAATTAACATGAAAGATGCTTTGAATACCCTTTAAATTCATGTCTTACGCAAAGTATACAGAAGTTTATAGGATCCCTTTCCACTCTGTAGGATAAGAACTCTGAAAGATTTCAGTGATGAAGCCACGCAGGCTCTTTCTGCTCTTCCATCCTGTTCTCAACTTGGTCCCAGTCCCCTTTTGTCTCTGTTTGCCACCTACAGGCTCAGGAATTTTCACCATCTTTCTTATTGCTTTGTTGTTAACACAGAGAATATGTCAACTTATGTGGAGGACTAGGCATAAGCATGTTTGTCTCAAACATTCTGACTGTTGTGACAGGAAAGTTGTGATTAGAAGAGAGTATCCCATGGAGGCAGGGCAGTGCTGTTCTGAGCCAACTTTCTGCTCCACCTTGAGACTCATGTTCAGCACCTTCTCTGCCCTGACTCACTTCCTGGAGGAGGGCTCAAAGGGTTGGCTGTGCATGAATGTAAAGGAAGTGACAGGAAAAATCTAGTTTACATAACAGGCGTGCACCAGGTTCACTATAAGAGGAAGTGGATCAGTCCCACTCACTCTTTTTTCCCCCTTTTACTTTCTCGTAAACTCCCTTTGTCAACTCCAACTCTGGACCATCCACACAGCAGGACCAATGTGGGATCTAAGAGCTGGTGATATTCTTTGTTCTCTCTCTCTTTCCACCTTTATTTTCCTCCTCCATTGTTTTGTCTGGGCAAAGCACATCTATCATATTCTACCCCATACTCTGTACTGAAGTTTGTTGTGGGAGTGAGGAGTTTGTGGAAGTGTGTTGTGGCTTGTGAGCCAACATCTTTGAGAAAGTGGTGTGTTGTGATTTCTTAACCTGCACCTTTGAGAAGTGGTATTGTGACTTGTTAACCAGCACCTTTGGTGGTGTGTTGTGACTTGTGACTCAGCACCTTTAAGAAGTTTGTTGTGAAAGTTGAGAAATTATTGCAGTGCACTGTACAAAATTAAACCACCACTTTTGAGTCTAAGCAGTGGGTTGTTTTCTGGAGTTAAGGCAACCATACAATAAAAGTATGAGTTCCCTGACACATGGACTGGTGTCTTTGTTCAGCCTGATGAGAATTTACAAGGAACATCACGCCCCCTACCAATGGGTTGTGACAACTGGAAAAAACAAACACCCTTGAAAAGCAAACATCCCAGCAATTTAGAATATATTTCATAGAATCGTAGAATGGTTTGGGTTGTAAGAGATCTTAAAGATCATCTTGTTCCTACCCCCCTGCTGTGGTCAGGGATGCCTTCCACTAAACCAGGTTGCTCAGAGCCTCATCCAACCTGACCTTGAACACTCCCATGGATGGGGCATCCACAATTTCTCTGGCCAACCTGTTCCAGTGCTTCACAACCCTCACAGTCAAGAATTTCTTCCTAATATCTAATCTAAACTCTTATCCTGTCAATCCAGACCCTTGTAAAATGTTCCTCTCCATCTTTCTTGTAGGGTCCCTTAGGTACTGGAAGGCCAAAATTAGATCACCATGAAGCCTTCTCTTTTCCAGGTTGAACAATCCCAATTCTCTCAACCTTTCCTCATAGGAGAGGTGCTCTATTCTTCTGATCAACTTTGTGGACTCCTCCTGACTCACTCCAACAGGTTGATGTCCTTCCTGTGTTGCTGTACTGGAACCAGTGTTATTTAATATCTTCACTAATGATGTAGACGAAGGGATCAAATGCCACGCTCGGCAAGTTTGGAGATGACACTGATTCAAAGAAATCAACCTCAACAGCATGATACTGTTAAGCCAGCATTCCTTTACTGCGATGTCAGAGTAGTGTTGGGGAGAACTCCTCCATAAGCACTATACTGAAACAAGGATTTTGTGAGCTTCTATACACTTTGACATCCCAAGAACCTCCTTGACAGTCAATCATCCTATTGTTACAAGGCATCAACATTAATCTTTAGTTAAAGATAACCTAGACTTCTTCTACTTTAACAGTCTTTGAAAAAGTTTTATATTTTATTGTTACAAGATATCAGCATCAATTTTTAGTTAAAGATAACTTAAATGTCTACTTAATCTTTGATTGATTTAGCTCTCTAGAGTATATTTTCATATCTTATTGTTACAGGATTCATCATCCATCTTTGGTTAAAGATTAGACCTAGATTACTTTTACCTAAACAATTTTCTATTGATTTAGCTCTCTAGAGTGTAATGGCCTCCAAAACTAATTAAAATTACAACTGCATAGGTTTCTGACCTCCCTAATTTTTATCTTTTAACAGTGTTTAGGTAAGGGTTTCAAAGTTACAAAGTTTAAGCAGTAAGGGCAAACTAAAAAATTCTTAAGATTCTAAGGTTACCTCTGAGACCATCATGACCCTTTCAACACCAAGTTGAGTGATGTGGTTGACACACCTGAAGGACAGGATGACATCCAGAGGGACCTGGACAAGTTTGAGAAGTGGGTCCATGAAATCTCATGTGGTTTAACAAGACCAAGTGCAAGGTGCTGCACCTGGGTCTGGGCAACCCCTGATATCAATCCAGTCTAGAAGATGAACAAATCGAGAGCAACCCTGCCAAGGACTTGGGGGTGATGGTGGATGAGAGGCTGGAAATGAACTGGCAATGTACACTTGCAGCCCAGAAAGCCAACTGTGTCCTGGGTTGCATCAAAAGCAGTATGGCCATGTGAAGTAAGATAACATGCAGGTACCCCCAAAATGCAAGGCAGTGGAAGGATTATAGGAAAATTTATTTCCAAAGTCAAGAACACTAGGCTTAAAAGAAGATTATCCTAAGTGTGTTTCAAACACTGGACCTGAGAAAGACATGCCCTCTTTTCTTCTCAGGGCTTTTATCATTGTTGGCCCCCTGGTCCTCCATGCCACAGATGCCCTTAACATGTCTGTGAGTGCTTATCTCTTTCCTCATATGACAGAGACCATCTCTGGAATGCAGGAGGAGAAAACATCTGTCTTTGGGAAAGATGCTTCTTCTAGGCAAGAAAGTTTTCTTAAAAGAAAATCTCTTATCTCCTCGTAGTGAAATCTTCCAGAAAGTGTATTCTATCCCTACAG